AAGATATATATTCTAGGAAAACCTATTTTAGCCTCGTTTTATCAATAAAAATAGTAAAAGTACAGAGACATTAAGTAACTTGCTAAATTTCGTATATACGAGTACATCGATAGGGGTATCTGGAATCTCTGTCAGCTAAGCGTCTGACTTTGGCTCAGGTCATGATCTCACAGTTCACAGGTTCAGGCCCCAGGTTGGGCTGTGTGCTAACAGCACAGAGCCTGGAGCCTGCTTCTGATTCTGTGTCTCCCACTCTCTCTGCCTGTCCCCTGCTCGCACTCTCTCTCTTTCTTAAAAAGAAACATTAAAAAAATAATAAATAAATAAATAAATAAATAAATAAATAAATAAATACATTGATAATGTTTGCATGTTGGTTTATACTTCTGCTTTTCTAAAAGCTCTCAGTAAACATTTATTGACTATACATGGCATGCATGGTACCTGGCATGGAAATACAGAAAGGTTTGAGTTTGTGGGTTAATAAGGATAGACAGTGAAGTCACCAGTTGAAGCATAGGCTAATTCATACTATGCCAAAGTATGTGCATCGTTCTGGAAGTTTCTGGAAGGGCAACCAACTTAGCATAGGTGGCATCTTCACTGGAAAGTCTATTTTCAACTTCATGTATCTGCTGCTGAGCCTATAAAAGTGCACAGACTATAAGAGTTAAGAAGGTCTGGGGTGCATATATGTTTTAGAATTAGTGGTTTTTTTTTCCTTCGGGTAAATACCCAGTAATGGAACACTAGATCATATGATAATTCTATTTTTAATTTTTTGTGGAAACTTCATTCTGTTTTCTATAGTGGCTGCACCAATCTGGATTCTCCCAACAGTGCACAATGGTTCTTTTTTTTTTCCACACCCTTGCCAACACTTGATTATTTCTTATGTTTTTTTTTCAATTATTTTAAACATGCTGATAGTTGTAAAGTTTACTGCATCATTATGTATAATAGCCAAGATATGGAAGCAACACAAGTGTCCATTGATAGATGAATGGGTAAATATGTGGTATATGTATACTGTGGAATATTACTCATCCCTAAAAAAAGAAAGAAATGAAATCTTTCCACTTGCAACAACATGGGTGGGTCTAGAGAGTATTATGCTAAATTAAATGTCAGTCAGAGAAAGACAGATACCATATGATTTCACTCATGTATAGAATTTAAGAAACAAATGAACAGCAACAAAAAAAGAAACAAACAAAAAATACTATTAAATGCAGAGAACAAACTGCTGTTTGCCAGAGGCAGGTGGGTGGGGTAATGGGTAAAATAGATAAAGAAGATTAAGAGTACACTTACCTTGATGAGCACTGAGCAATGTATATGACTGTTGAAATATTATATTCAAACTAAATATGTATGTGTGTGTGTGTGTGTGTGTGTGTGTGTGTGTGTGTGTGTATTTTTAAGAGTTAAGGGGCACCTGGGTAGCTCAGTTAGTTAAGTGTCTGACTCTTGATTTTGGCTCAGGTCAGGATCTCACAGTTCATGATCTCATAGTTCACTGATGGCACAGAGCCTGCTTGGGATTCTCTCTCTCGCTCTCTCTCTCTTTCTCTCTCTCTCTGCCCCTCCCCCACTCATGCTTGCTCTCTCCCTCTCTCGCTGTCTCTCTGACTCTCTGAAAATAAATAAATAAGCATTTTTAAAAATCTTTAAAAATAAAAATTAATTAAAAACAGAGTTAAGGCAGAAGAAGAATAAGAGGGAATTCCAGACAGAGACCCTCCCCATACATGCAAAGGCATGAAGTTTCCCCGCCCTTCTGTGAAATTCATTTCAAGAAGGGAATTCATTTTCCCAAATATATATATAGAGAGAGAGACAATATAAAGATTTATTAGATACAGCCGCTTATTGCCTCTTTGTATAATTAAAGGATCCTGGATCAAACATTTTTATCTCACATTTCCAGAGAGGTTCTTTTTGAGCCCCAGAACTGAACAACCCAGTATATCAGATATTACAGCAGATATTGACCAGGGTGAAAATGTTGTCTATATACTTACTGAGGAAACATTCTTCTCTATGCTCTAGTGAATGCAGAGAGCTCAGTGATAAAGAAAATAGAAGACCTGCCTCGTGAGAGCTCAATGAAGTAAGAGAGGCATTTATATAAAGAGATCTAGCAAACCATTATGAACCATGACAGGTTATGTACAGGGTGATCTGGAAGCATAAAACAAGGGTGTCCAACCCTTTATGCCTAATACCAGAAGTCATACTTACTATCATGATGGATAGTGATACTTGAAGCCATTCTTGAGATCTCACTCTGAAAAGGAAATCATCAAGGGAATATTTTAGGTTAAATTTTATGTTTATGCTGTTTTTGATTTGTTACTATTTTTGAGACTTATTGAGGTATAATTGACAAATAAAATTAAAGTATATTTAAAGTATACAGTGTGATGATTTGAGAAACATATACAGTGTAAAAGTATTTCCACACTGAGTTAACATATCTATCACCTCATATATTTACCCTTCTTTCTTTTCCTCCCCTTCCCCTTTCTCCTTTCTCCTTTCTCCTTTCTCCTTTCTCCTTTCTCCTTTCTCCTTTCTCCTTTCTCCTTTCTCCTTTCTCCTTTCTCCTTTCCTTTCCTTTCCTTTCCTTTCCTTTCCTTTCCTTTCTTTTATTCTCTTTTCTTCTTTGTGAGAACATTTAAGTTCCACTCTCAACAAATTTCACTTTTATAATACAGTGTCATGGACTGTAGTCATGTACATTACATCCTCAAACTTTATTCATCTTATAACTGAAACTTTTACCATCCCTGTCTCCCCCACAACCCCTGGCAACCCCCCATTATTATTATTGCCACCATTATTAAGCACAATAATTGGTCTTACTATACACAAATAAGCATCAAACCCCACAGTTACAAGTAAAATGTATAAGTGTGCTAGGCAACAGTGCTTTGTGGTCAACTGCAGTGATGTGCTTGTGCAAGGTGTCTGGTCAGTGACAGGACTGTTAAAACCAGCGCGTCTGCAGACATTTAGCCTTGTTTGGCTTCAGCTTTTGAGAATGTACCGGGGCCACAAAGTAAAAGCAGCAATAATTCTTTATAATCTGTGACTGCAGATCTGGAGGTACTCCTAGACTCCCAGGAAAAGGAGCGAGCCTATCAGCAAATAAAAGTTGTTGGAAACATTGCAGTTTGACTTTAAAGTTTTATTTTCTTGTTGCAGTTGTTTTCCTACAGGTAGGGAAAAAACCAGGCAGGGTAAGAGTAGCTGGTTAGCCACAGGAGACTTTGCGGAAACAAATGATTCTGTTTTGTCCCTGTCTCTTTCTGTGAATTGATAAGAGGGGACCCATCACTTGACACAACAGCTCCTGCCTTTAGATGTGGTATAAAAGATCTTAAAAGAAAACTGCTATTATCGATTTGGGGCTATGAGCACATGGAAAGTTGCAACTGGATGCAGGGTAATTATTTTGTCTCCCGTTGACATTCACCATTAGCCGAGCAGATAGGTCTGCATGCTAGCTTTCACAATGTGTTTCTGGGATGCCAGCCTTCTCCTGGGAATAAGAAGAGCTAGTCACGTCAAAGAAGGAACTCAGGGCGGCAGGCAAGGTGGGAGGTGAGCAGCGTGCAGCTGCCTGCTAATAATTTGCAAAAACTCAGCAGTTAACTGCTGAGATTTCTAGTTGGAAGGTTTTTAGGGAGCTTGTTTTCTTTTTCAGCCTCAGGACTGTGGCCTTGTCAGAAGAGGTCACCTGTGGATCCCGTCAGCCCTTCAGTGTGGGAAGTAGAGAGCCACCGTCCCTAGATGAGCTCTAGCATTTAACTGAAATGATGGTCAGGATGTCACCGACTGCCCGTATTCAGATTGCACTGATGGGAAGCGTCCAAGTATGTGTCCCCTGTCTCTTTGGGGGAAATCGTAAAACCCTTATGAGGACATTTCTGCTTCCGGAGAAAAGAAAGCAGGGTTTAATGTTGTGAGCATAGACTCTGAATTTCAGACCATGTATCAATCAGAGAAGACTTACTGACAGTGATAATAGGGCCGTTAGGAGACTCCTTTTCTTAAGAAGAAGAGAGACTAAGCTAGCTATGCTTCAGAGTCTTTGAGCTGAGAAAATGAGTTCAAATAAGAAAGAGCTCTGGGAATGCCCTTAGGACAGTGATTAATTTACTTATTTCAAAGAGCTCACATACTGTTATATCCTCCCTCCCTTTCTCCCTCCCTCCTCTCATTTCCTTCCTTCTTTCATTCAGCTTTTGACTATCTATTATAGCTCAGGTAACAGAATAATTATTTTCTATTTAGTATGGCTCACTGCAAGATTACACTAAATAATATACGCCTCCAAGGCACTTTAAATAGACTTTTATTTTACTTTTTATTTTATTTTACTTACACCTATGGTTTCAGGCACCCTTCCTAAAGTGAAGTACATCTGCATTTTCCTCTCACCCTGGTTCAATATACAGAGAATGGTCGCTCTGTGCCATACGGGCCACTGCATCGGTTCAATCACATGGTTTGTTCCTAGTTCACAGGACAGTAGGACGTAGTTTTGCTCATTTCAAATGAAAAAATTAATTAGATCACTCAGCAATGTAAATCACCATTCAAATGACCCAACTAAAGCAAGCAGCTTACTTGGCATCTTCCTGATAAGTCTTGAAAGTTTAATGTACTGTCAGTGAGATTGTCACTAGCTGAGCCCACAGGAAGACACATATGCCATGTGTAGGACTTATTTGCAAGTCTGAGCTAATAACATACAGCATCTTTGCCAGAGTTAAGCCCGGCCTTCGTCAAATAAAGGTTTCATTATAGTTTTTATTTGAAGTGGGAATTTCACTGTCAGGTTGTATAAATAAACATACTAGACATATTCCAAGGCTTGTGGTGTTTAAATCCTGTGGACATTAATAGTCTGTGGGCTCAGCTGAGTTTCTCGAAGACACATATGAAGTCATTCATGTTGGTGTTCCTTTTCCTCTTTCTCCACGTTTTAGGTCTGTGATGGGATCAAACAAGGAACCAGACCTTGTGCATCTCGAGGCCAGAACTATAGATGGTCGTAAGTAATTCAACTCCTCCATGATGTTATCAACCTACCATGAGCCGAGTCTATGTTTTAGGGAAATCACAGTGGCAATAATCCAAGTCCTTCATAATCCAGAATTGTCTTAATCACTTCTGGCGTCTCTCATCCAATCAAGGTGTTTTTCTTTCCCGGTTATGGGAAAGTTCCCCAGTATCTTACTTCTGAGGTTTTTGTAGTTATTGTCATTATTATGTTATTGCTGCTGTTTTGTTTTCGTTTGTTTTTCCAGTTTCCTTATTTTATCAGATACCACCTAGGCAATATTTCAATGTTTTGTCTGGGAAGTCACAAAGCACTTGGAAATGACAGGGACAAGAGAACCATTCTGTGTGTCCCTCATCATAAACAGGTTGAAGGACACATCGATCGAGTTCGTTTGCTGGCATATTGGTAATGTTTAGCAACCCAGTTAGGCCGGCTGCAAGGAGAGACTATGCTTTGTGTAGAGACTGAGGCTTTGAGTACATGAAACCGAAAAAGAAAATTGCAGTCCAGGATCCACACCCATATCTCAATGACTCAAAAGTTCACTCACTAGTTATGAAAAATTAATAACTTGAAAAAGCTGCTTAAGTTCTTTATGCCTCAGCTTCTTCATCTGTAAATGAAATAACTTAATAATAATGATTCTTGGGGCACCTGGGTGGCTCAGTCGGTTAAGTGTCTAACTTCGGCTCAGGCCGTGATCTCATGGTTGGTGGGTTTGAGCCCCGCATCGGCCTCTGTGCTGACAGCACAGAGCCTGGAGCATGCTTCAGATTCTGTGTCTCCCTCTCTCTCTGTCCCTCCCCTGCTCACACACTCTCTCTCTCTCTCTTTCAAAAATAAATAAACATTAAAAAAATATTTAAAAAATAATAACAATTCTTGTACTAGCTAACATTCACTGAGCACGTACCCTATACCAGGAACTATGCTAATCACTGCATATATTTTATCACAAGTAATCCCCACAAGAACTTGTAGGTTATTATCCTAATTTTACAGACGAGGAAACCAAGGCATAGCTGGTTTAAGTAATATATTTAAACAGCAATAACCTAAGTTTCCTCTCCCTTCTTTGGTCCAGAGGATCTCCAGAAGGTCTAAGGAGTGGAGGAGTACCACCAGGCCTACGATAGGGCACCACAGGTTAAAGGGATCAAAGAAGGAGAAAAGAAGAAGAAGAACAGGTGAAGTAAGAAAGGATGGGGGGAAGAAAGAAGTCAGCCTCAAGTAGAGAGAAGAAAAGGCAAACTGATATCCGCAGTTACTGCAGAGCAATGAGGTTGCCCAGCCCAGAGCCAGAGGGTGATGATCTAAGTATTGAGACCTACCCCTCGCAATTCAAAAACTTCATCATCACTGTCTCCTGTACCTGTCCACTTGCCCTTAGCTCGTCTGAACACAAAAGCAGAAGGTAGCTGTACTTCACTAGCTTACAGCTAAAAGAAGCGGGTCACCCCTGCACTCCAGACTCTCCAGAAACCACACCTACTTCATTACTGTGCACACAGCATGAGCTTTTTCATCTCCAGCGGTTCCACTTCCCCTTTGGGGAATCAATATATTCCTTGGCAGAATCAGCGGGGGCACAGTTCAGGGTCCAAGCTATCACCTTCCTCCTTTATAAATTCAGGCAGGACTGCCACATGTAATATGTCCAGCACTATGCCTGACACGGAATGAACTCAGCAGTTTAGAGCTTTCTTCCTATCTCTTCGGTGGGCTCTCTCTGGTCACGACCCCCGCCCCCCCTCCCCCATTGCTGTAGAACTGATTAGGTTGTCTTGGATGGCAAGGTCCAGTTTTTACTACACAAGAGCCAGAATAATCTTTCCCTCAGGTAGAATGATATAGGACACCTGACCTTGACCTATAGTTCCAGTGTAATCTGGTACCTGCCCATTTCCTTAGCTCGTCTCCCTGTGTCTTCTCTTCACTCCTTGTCTGCAGGCCTGTGGGCTTGCTGTGAGTTCTTGGGATGTGCAGGGTCCTATGTGTCACCACAAGGCTCTGAGGCCTGCTGGTTCCTCTGCTTGGAATATCTACTTCCCTTCTGCCTTCCCTGACCCATTCGTTGTAATTAATCAGTAGGGATGTTTCAGATGTAAATATTTCTTTTTTATTTTAACTTTTTAGTTTGAAATAATTTTAGGCTCACATAAAAGTTGCAAAAACTAGTACAGAGAGTTGCCCTGCATCTTGCACCTGGCTTCCCTCAAAGATGAGCACCAGTGTAACCACAGAATAATATCAAAACTTCCAGTCTAAACCAGTGTCTTATTTTATTTGCTTTCGTTCAAAACTCTTCTTTGTCTTTATTGTGCTCATCTCAGCTTGACGTTACTCAATCTATTTACATTCCTTTTCCATGATTATTTGATTACAGTATCTTTCCTTTACCAGTCTTGACGTTCTAGGAGTGAAGGGGCCGTGTGTATCTTTGTTCAATATTGTGTCTTCAGCACATGCCTCAGTGTCAACATGTAGATAGAGCTTAATACATATTTGTTGAATGAATGAATACACACAGTTGACCCATTGTCAGGGTTACCAAGTCACTTACTAAGTTGTCGGAAAATTTTAGGGCATTGCATCTCAAGCTTGGACGTAACCTGACCCAACTAGGGATCTTGTTAAAACATGGATTCTGATTCAATACGGGCCCAAAAGACTGCATTCCCAATAAGCTCCCAGGCGAAGCCAATGCTGCTGGTCAGTGAAACATGTTTAGAGTAACAAAGTCCCATAACGAAAACCTAATGAAAGAGCTTTAGGGTCTGTCTCCCATGACTGCACCTCTTGTTTAGAAAGCCACAGATAGAATTGGTAACATCCTAGATTGCTTTAATTTTCAAGCTTTTGGGGATAATACTGCTTCTGGCTTGTGGCATCTAATGCACATAACCCCCTATCCTGAAAACAATAAGGCTGTCGCTTTCCCTGATCTGCACGTTTTCTTTCACCCAACATTATTCCTATGCTCCCTGAAGCCATGAAGGTTGATAACGCCAGGCTGTCATCTCAGGCTCAGCTTTCACATGGCATGAAATAGATCAGTTCTAATTTTATTTATTTAATTTTACTTTTTTTTTTTT